AAAAAAAAAAAAATCATGTAATTGCTATTGAGCCAATAGACAAATCATTATTTTTATAACAATAAATAAAAGGCTCATTATTGATGAAAGCCCATCTCCACTTTAAGGGTTTAAAAAACACGTACCAAAAAGAGGAACACCGAAAATTCTGTGTCATTCCACTCATTCTCCATTGTTGTGCATCTCTTCTTTCTCTCTCAATAAAACCCAAACTTTCAGGGTTATTGCAAAATTCTCGTCGATAAACATGCCAAATCAACAACAAAAATCGTGCAAATTATAGTAAAACAGTGCAAATTAGTTCAATACACACAAAAAAAGAACTAAACCTGAAAATTTCAAACTCAAAGGAGAAACAACAAAATCGTCCAGATTTTCAAGATCCGTTTTACTAAATTATAGTAAAAAAGTGCAAATCAAGCGATTACAATACATATCTATCAATATCTGAAATTTTCCTAAAATAATTTACGTTGTTTTTTTCTTTTTTTTTTTTTTTCTTTTTTTTTTTTACAAAAGTTCGTTTTAAGTTGAGCACTAAAGTCGAATCTTTCGACTATTGGCCGCTTCTTAATAAATACTTCTTTACATTTTTTTTTTCTATAAATTTTAATAGATCTATGAAGATTCAATGTTTATTGATCAAACCATGAATAATAATTGCAAAAATTGAACACATCTACATGATAGTCACATATTTTTATTACAAATAGAGATTTTTTTAAAAAGTCAAAGAAAACGTTACATTCTTTGGAGTTGATTACGGAAAAAAGCCAAAAAAAAAAATACATATTAAATTTGTTGTATTGTAATTTGTAACTGCTTTAGGCGGTAAAACGAAATAATATAATTTAATGCTACTTATAATAAAATTAAATGATGTTGCTCCAAATTATATATTTATAGATATGATATTTTGTAGTATATGTATGCAATTTTATTCTAAAAAAAAATGAATATGATAGATATCTTATAGTATTTGTATGCATTTTCATTTAAAAATAAATAAATAGATGGAACTTAACATTAGACATTCACTCAGTAATTACTAACTAGTACAGAGCCCGTGCGATGCACGGGGTGCACAATTTTTAGGTTATTTATCCATTCTTATAATTATATAAATGAATTAAAAAAATGTACGGGATATATATAGTACGTGACCTGTAATAGGCCCAAATGTTAACACGGGTAATGCACGGGGTGCACAATTTTAAGGTCATTTATTAGTACAGATCCCGTGCGATGCACGGGGTGCACAATTTTCTAGTATGTGTAATAAAAATACATACCGTTTGCACGGGACAGAAGCACTAAATGAGTCATTCCACAGAGCTTGCCCGCTAAGTAGCTCCTGAATACGGGTGCACAATTTGTAGTACGT